GAAGTAGCTGAGTGTAAAATGCTGCTCTCTGCATTTACACAGATTCTGAATCGTCAGGAAGACAGAAGTGGTAAAGTGGCAGCCATGAACATCTGAGCTCCTCAAGGCAGAGCAGCTGGCTGAGTGCTCTTTATCTTCTTTTGCAGAAAAGGCGTTATTGTTGCTCAGATGTTTGAAACAAAGACTTGTTGTGATAGCCAGCACGTTTCAATGTATTATTTTTTTCAATTGTGTGTAAATAATTAAACAGCTGAACACAATGTTCCACTTCGATAACCAGTAAGCCTCAACTTGACTGGAGTTGAGCTGACAAGCATCTTGGTTGAACCAGTTGGTCATTTAATCAATTAGCTGATCTACTGGGGAAAAAAAACAGTTGTGTATTTCCTGTTTCACTGCAAAGCTCGCTGTCTTGTTACAATTGTCAGTGACGGTTGATTTGACCATGGATGTTTGCCTGCAGACAAGAGATGCAGGTTCTGAACTTGTCCTGCATTTTTTCACATTTATGCATTCTGGAGCTCAGGCTTGAGCTCGAGTTGCCTTTTTATTGGCTTAGCTTTGACAAAATCATGGTTAGTTAAATAACTATTAAAAACATGTAAAGTATGTCGTTTTAGTAGCAAAAGGTCAGTTTCCATGATGTCACGTGAATTCATCTCTCAGAAAATACAAATTTTGGCATTTTACAAATTCTGAATATGGATTGTGACTCTTTTTAAAAAGTAATCTAATAGATAGACAAAAATGACCTAAACAGGTCTATATTAGTTTCTTCATGTCTCTTTGTTTGATATAAAATAAACGACCTAATGAAAATCTTAAAATATAATCTGTGTTTAGTTGCACATGATAACGATATAGATCAATGTTTTCATTTTACCTTGATGTAGCTGAWTTATTAGTCATTTAATCAATATATCAATGTGGATCGATATATTGTTACACCCCTAGTTTTCCAATTCATTTGATTTAAAAATATTTTTATTGTGAAGAAATGGGCTAATGATTTTAGTTGGTATAGATTGAGTCCAGTTTCGCTGCACTATGAATTTGAAAACTTATTTTAGGAGCGAATGAATTTTGCAACAAGAGTTATAAACTTTAAAGTTACCGTCTCTTCCCTTCTCTGTATTCCAGAGAGCAGGAGGCATCTTTAATCATTCATGTGTATAAATAGACCCACTTTAATCTTTCGCAGGGTGCACAGCAGCCTAGTTCAGCTCTTTGACCACCAATCAACACTTTTCCAGCCCTCACTTCACCTTTCCTCTGCCTCTGCTTTCTCCCCCGTCTAATCATGAGCTTACAGCTGCTACAAACTCCCTGCTTCAGCTGTGTGTGTGTGTGTGTGCGTGAGTGTGTGTCAGTGTATATGTGTGTGTGCTGGCTTTTGACAACCCTGCCATGCAGGAGGGGCAAGAGTTACCTGCTCCTGACCAGCTTTGAGGAACACACTAATGAGAGGCTTGAAGCTGAGGTTCATTGAAGAGGCCGCTGCTGAGGAGGAAGACGAGTGGTTTCTATGCTCACGTTGGAGGACTTTAATAGCTCGACCAATCTCCCTGCTCAGATCAGATCCTGGCTCTCAGGGTTTATATGATCTCCTTTAAATCACATGAAACACTCTTTATCATGATTCTTCACTCTGAGCTGAAACAGCATTTCCCTTTAAATTTCTCATGAAATGTCARGTGCAGTCCCACTTTCAAGTAGATAGTTAACGTACAGTAGATTGTAAAAATACCATTTTCTGCTTAAATGCAACATGAAGCTAAACGACTGCTAAAGTTTGCAGAAGATGCTAAAACTGAGTTTTTAAGCTAAAATGAGTTACGTGTTAATTAAAAGTCAAAAATAGCTAAATTCTAGCTGAAAGTAAAACAAAGGGCAGTTAGAATCTAAATGTAGCTAAAGACTAGCTGAAATATACAGTAAGTCTTAAAAGAGTAGCTAAAAGCTAAACATATTAAAGAGCTAGATAAATGTTAAAAGTAGCAAAATGGTAGCACTAAGCTAAAATTATCAAAAGACTAGCTAAAACAAAAGTTTTATTAACAGAAGCAAAATATTTGCTAAACATAGCAACGACGAAGCTAGTTAAAAGATAAATTACCAAAAAGTAAGCTAAAACCTACAAGTAGCAAAACATTAGCTAAAAGGTAAAAGTAGCGTATGAAGACAAAAATAAAGGTAGTATGCTTAAACATTAAAAAAATAATATTCATGAAAGAACTGAAGAGATTTTGTGTATTTTTTATGGTGAATATATTTATTAATAAACTAAAAGTATTTTTGAAAATTCTTAAATTTATGAAAACCAAAAGTTACAGCAATCATTTCCTGAACGAGCTGAAAGTTTTGGGATGAGAACAATTAAAYCAGCGAGTACGCAGACTGCAAAATAAAGTAAAATATCAGTGATATTGATTTCTCGGTAACAAAAAAAAAGGATGAAGATTCCTCTCATAAGTGAAAAACTCACTCAGCAGGGCTTTTKAAATTCATCTCTACTGTCAGTTGAGGCAGCTGGTCTCCCTCCTGGGCCTGGTTCTGGTTCTGCTGGATGTTTCTTTGTGTTTAAAGGAGAGTCGATCCTTTCTGCTGTTTAAGATTTAACGCAGTCTGCTTTTACTAATTAGCATTTGATAATGTGTGTGAATGATTTTTGGACCCTGACTTTTATTGTACATTGACTCTACATAAATGAACAGAATCACAGCAGCTCCTAAAGCTGAAACATCTCAGACATGTTGACTTCTGTCCTGCACCAGAAGCAGCAGTGATGGAAAATAAGAGAGTGAATGTGGGCTGCAAGGAGGACGTGAAATCTTYTTTTCTCCGGGAATCAAACTGTTTTTGTTCCACGCAGCAGCACTGAGCTGCCTGGTGTGTTTCCATTTTCCCGCCTTGACAGAGACCAATGGACTGTCCCTCTCTTCTCTTATCAGAGCTGCTGCAGCCCCTCAGTGTCTGGCTGCAGGCCTGCAAAGACCTTTTCTCATTTCCTCATCCACACATGAAGACTTACTTACTCTCAGTTTTTTTTTTCATTCTATATGTAGCTGATAGTTTGACATCTTTGAGGATTCTACATTTTTCTGTGTGACTGTCTTGATTTTTCTTCTAGTTTTATTTGTGTAAATTTGCAGTTTGTCAGTTTGTCTCTTTGCAACTTAAATACCGAAATGAATCCATGCTTTCAAACAAGTAGCAATTATTATTTAAACAAAAAAAATCTAAATTTTGCAGATAACTCACCACCTTCAATGCAATAATTTTAAACCAAAGCTGCATTATCTGATGGGGATAACTCTCAGCTACCACCACATCAAATATTAACTCAGTACATGTTAAATTGACAGGTATAACTATTTTTGTGTTGGCTAAAACTGATTACCTGTCACAGTCATCTTGGTTTTGGTCAACTCCAAGAGGTTGTAAATGTGCACAATGATTACATCCTGAGATTTTTGTTCAAATTCATCCAGTGGTTCATGATATATTTCGCTAACAGACCGACATTTGACAGCACAAAAAATTGCGTAACTACCTGGTGAGCGATGATAAAAATCATTTTGAGAGATTGAACATAAATTTGAAATCACCTTAAACCCACAAATGATTTCTCATCAATTAGAGTTCCTTCTAAAGCTGAATGTTTTGGGGGGGCGGGGTTTAAGCTGCCTGCATCTCTCATTTTTCCTGCCTCCTCAAAGTGTTCATTCTTCTGGAACAGACCTTAAACTCGTTTGCTCCCAGTATAAATCATGATGACACTGTTACTGGTGTGAGTTTCCTTCACGTCTTTTATAGTTTCTGTGCTCCAGCTCTGAGAGCTGCAGCCGATGAGATGAGGCATCATTCTGCTGCGTCATCTCCTTAGTTTCCCTCTCCTGACTCCTCGCCTCTGTTCCTCCTGTGGATTGGGCGGCTCAACGCAGAAAACTCAAAACAAAACATCAGGGAGCTGGGCTCAGTTATGAAGTTGTGACACGATGTGGTTTTTAATTACTGCTTGTGCTGGTGCAGACCTGACTTTGCTACTGTAAGTGTTGGAAACACCTGTGGCCATATTTTTATTAAACAAACCCATAAAGTCATGTTGGGGTTTGTTTATGTGTTTCATCGTGTTCTGCATACCTGAAGTTTTATTCCCTCTTTCTAAATGTACCCACAATTTCATCCTTTTACATTTATTGTCTGCCATCAAAAGGCAATAATCTAAAGTGTGTGTTTGTCCGTTACAAGAATATCTCACAAACCACTGGGCAGATTTTAATGAACCTTTCAGGAAATGATCATTAGATGTGCCTCTATAACTGATTAACTTTTAGAGTCAATTCAACGGCTGCCACAGCCTAGTGACTATAGAAAACACAAAAATGGCTACAAACCAGTCAGTTCACCAAGTGCTACTCATTACATAAGATATTTGCTTTTAAGCAATAATTCTGAGTCAACCCTMTTTGTCTGTTACCAAAATGTCTCCTGAACCACTTAACAAATAATTATACAACTTTTAGAAAGTAATAATTGGATGTATAGCTACAACTGATTAATTTTTGGAGGCAATCCAGTTCATCGAGCCAACATTGGCTAACACCAAATATTGCTTAACTGCAAAAATGGTTGCAACCAACCAAATAAGTCTTACAATCTTATATCCAGTCAAAAAAAGTATTTTGATCTTGTTTTGAGACTGATATAATACACAAAAGCTGAATGTTTTAGATTGTTAATGTTGTTAATCTGGAAATCTGTTTTACCACACTGGCAGATTATTTCATTTCATTTGAGAAGACTGAAGTTGTAGCTGCGTGAGCATGACATCTTGCGATATCTCATGAAACTGTAAATAATATTATTTCTAAGCTACAACTCAGGCATTTCTCAACTCTAAATGGAAGTTTTTATTTTATTTATTTATTTTTTTCGTTTCTTTAAATTTCTGTCTTTCCTCTCCCTCCTCTAAGTTCCCACACTCTTGTGTCCCACAGTGCTGTTGCATGAAGAGGTGGTCCAGCTCCAAGAAGAGGTCCACCTGCTGAGGCAGATGAAGGACATGTTGAGCAAAGACCTGGAGGAGACCCAGGGAGGCTGCTCCGCCAATCTGCTGTCTGCCACCGAGCTCCGCGTGCAGCTGAGTGACAAGGAGCAGGAGCTGGACCGAGCCAAGGAGGCCCTACAAGGTCAGGACTCCACACAGATGTGTGGCCTCGTGGCTCATAAAGTTCAGATTTAAGCTTTGAGTTGGATTGACATTTAGAAACAATGTGTTTAAACTTAATTAAAATCACTTTAGTTTAAAAGAAAAACTTTGGCCTTGTTAAATCAGTCATTTACATTTATGCAGTTTTGTGTTCCTTTTTGTATTTCTAGATCTAGCTTTGTGTGTCACAAAAACTAACATAGTAATTATTGTTGTGATATTAAATACGAGGTTCAAACTGGAGGAACTTGTTTTACCTCATCTTCTGTCTATAAAGAAATGACYTAAGAATAATTAAAAATGAATCTGAACAGCCCAAATAAGAGGCCAAACGTTGAATCTGTTACTGACAGCATTCTGTCTCTCTTTCTGCGGGCAGCTTTAGATTTTATTCATGCCTAGAGATGGGTGTTGGCCCTGATGAGGCGCCAACTTGGACTGAACCAATTCTTTTCTTTTCTTTTTTTTACAGACATTCATAAATCAGGAAGCTTTACTCATAAACAGTAACTTTTTCATTGTTTTTTCACTCTGTGTTTGCCAGTCAACCAAGTAGTGCTCATTAGATCACTCTTTGGTTCATTCCATTCTCATTTCTGGTCATTTATCATTTTTTTAATACACTTCAAGAGATGAAGTCAGATCRATATATAAGATTTCTGCAGGGGAAAAGAAGCATGTCGTGTTTATCGTCTCTCTCCTCCAGCCTGTTAACCGTCACATTGCTGCTGCAGAACAGGTTTGAGGGTTCTGAGTAAAATGTGGGGAGGGTGATCTCTGACAGGAGGAATGCACCTGGAGTGACATGTGTCTTCAGTTATGGAAAGTACATGTTCCAGTTATGCCTCTCTGCCTGCTGAGAACGAGCTCCCTGAGGGAAACTGTTGCTGTTTTTGCCCGCAGAGTCCCACCGGTTGCATCACTTCTGCAGAGCGCAGTTGAAACAAATCAGATCTCATTGTTCTTCCTGAGGATGAGTCTCCACATGTAACCTGAAAATAGTTTTCCAAATGAATTAAAGTATCCTGCTGGGCCACTTGTTTGGTGAAGATTACCTCGTTTTTCTGATATAACCAAAAGCGTCACAGTGGCATCTAGTGGCTTTTTGGTGAAATTACAAATCGTTGTTTCTAACTTGCAACTTTTTCTTTTTTTTTTTTTTTTACAGTAAAGTTGACTGTTGTGTGAATGTGATGATCTGTTGTTTGCAGCCATGAAAGCTGACCGAAAGCGCCTAAAAGTGGAAAAATCAGACTTGGTGAATCAGATGCAGCAGCTGTACGCAACACTGGAGAACAGAGAGGAGCAGCTTCGAGAGTTTATACGCAACTATGACCAGCACAGAAAGGTACCAACAGCTGTGCTGATCCATACATGCTTTTAAGTGTGGTACATATGCCTATATGGGAAATATTTTCATAGAAACAAATGTATAATTTCAAAAATTTGCTGCCTTTTTAATGTTTTAATAGCAGTATGTAAACAGTTGTTTGTTTTTGCTTAATAAATTACTATAAACACTTTGTAACTGTAACAGTGTAGACAAACAGTAATATAATTCCCAGTTTTTGAAACTTTAGTTATCAAAAGCAATACACGACACAGTTTCTTGAATATTACATAACACACAAGTACATTGTATATACAAGGTAATATTTCCAGTACGTAGACAGTTAGTACTAAATATGTAGCCAATAAGCCTTCAGTATGTAGCTTGTGAGTACCAAGTATGTACCGAGTACATCACCATTAAAGTAAGGTATGTACCTGATACTTACTTACTTGCCATGTACCTGGTATTTACAGAATACATAATAGGTGCAGGTACCTGTACAGGTACCACATACATAGCCAATAAGATAAAGTATCCACTGGTACCTATTGGTAAGTACCTAGGACATGCCCATCATGTGCTCAGTAAGTTCCTGGTGTACACCAAGTATATGATACAAAATAATCAACAGCAAACACATGAAACAGTCAAATATGGACCAGTTTTTATTTGGGTATTACACACCATGTAAGTACAATGTATGCACTACATACCACTCCCATTGTGTAAATGGTTAGTATCAAGTGTGCAGCCTATAAGTACTAGGTATGTAGCTGGGAAGTACCATTTACCCAGTACATTGCAGTAAGGTCAGGTACTTACCTTGTACTTCCTGGCCATGTACCTATTTACTAACTACATACTGGATACAAGTACCCAGAACAAGTACCAATTACATAGCCAATAATATAAGGTACCCACTTGATACCTATCGTGTAAGTACATACTAGGTAAATATCCACTGGGTACCTGGTGAGTACKTTGGTGCATACCAAGTATGTAGCCAGTAAGTACCTGGTATGTTGCTAGTAAGTTCAAAGTACCTACCCAGTACATCACAAATAAGGTAAAGTGATACTTCCTGGCCAGAATCAGAATCAGGTTTACTGGCCAAGTATGTTTACACACACAAGGAATTTGCAGTTTAGTACATCCGTCCAGAGAAAAACACACAACTTGGGAGAACGAATGTCCACGGTCATTTGCAACAACCTTACAGTGTTCAGAATACACACACATAGGAAGGGTGAGTTTAAAAAAGAACTTTGATCGTGTGTTTAACACACAGGAAYACACACGGTCATCGTACAAAAAAACAACTCTTGCTGTTAGAGCAGAAGCAGCAAGCAGGGAAAGCTGTGTGTGGGGGTAGGGGGTACAGGAGATGGACCGGGTAAGGGATTGTGAAGGAGACGATGACATCAAGGACAGGTGCCTGGTCCGACAGAGACCCCCAGAGTTCAACCAGATGTTACCAAATGAACACAATATCCCAGAGTTCAAGTCTCTGCTTCAGAGTTCAGTTCCTCTGATCCAGCCTGCGTGGCCTCGTCAGGAGCCAGACAAATAAGGGGCCATGTGTCTGATATTCACTACATACCAGATACAGGCGCCCAGTACTTAGCCAGTAATAAAATGTACTTACCTGGTATTATGTAAGTACATACCTTGCACATGAACACTATATAGTGAGTTAGTACCTGGTACATAACTGAAAAGTACCAGGTATGTGTTGGGTCATAGTAGGGATTGCTACCAAGTTTTTCTTAATAATTTTAATGAAAATAAGTTATTTTTTAGCCCCGTGTATCAAGTTTAGTTTACTATTTTAACAAACATACCAGTTTGTGATGTTTTCCTTAGAGCTTTTCTGATCATTCAAAGTGAGTAATTTCGTGAGAACTCTGCGCCTGCGGTCCCTGCAGGAGAGCGAGGATGCAGTGAAAGTCTTGGCAAAGGAGAAGGACGTACTCGAGAGGGAGAAGTGGGACTTGAGGAGACAAACCAAAGAATCCACGGAGCAGGCCACCATCCTGCGCTCTCAGATCGACATGAAGGAGAACCGGATCAAGGAGCTGGAGGCTGAGCTCACCATGGTGAGTCATGGGCACGCTCACAACTCCGCTGACTTCATTCATGAATAAAACTGACGCCTAAAAACGATTAGCTGTGAGTGATGGAAATGAAAAGGAGGCATGGATTCTGTGTTTGTGTGGTTCAAGTGTTTCTCCGGCGTCTTGTTTGTTGAGGAAGAGATGAGTGTTTTTAATATGCAGCAGTATGTTGTAGGTACAGCTGCCTGTCTGTGTGTTAATAATCTCTCCTCCTTTTGCAAATCACAGCCACCCACAGATCCACACATCCGGCTGCAGCACAGATCACATTTGTTGGCTCATCACTGCCAAACAGTGTTTAATTATCATTCCGTCTGCTCTTCTCCACGTTTTCTCTTCTTCCTGAAGTTTGCTGAGAGGTTTCCTCTGATGAATCATGAATAAAACTATAAATATGTTTCTTTTTTTGTTGATAAAATATTGGATTTTAGATGAGATTATACTGGTAACCACCTGAACAACCATAAAATTGTGAAAATGAGACTTTCAAAAGTTATTTGTTGTGTTTTTGATTCCCTTGTGGTAATTTGTGTCATCAACATCAAGTGAGCAAACAAAGAACAAAGTTGTGCAACTCTCCGTTATATTTTCCTTAATGTTTTGCTTTTAGTTTTAGAATCGAAACAAAGAACAAATATATACTATCAGACACTCGAATGGTCAGGTTTGGTTTGTGATTAGACTTGTTCTGACTAAATTTATTTGATCAATCTCAAAGTTTACAAAGTTTGTTTTTGTCATGAGTCTCTGAAAATCTGACCTCTGTCCATTGAATCATTTTTGTGAGACTTTAAATCTCAACTATTGCTCTTTATTTACTGAACTAATTTGAAATTTTAACTAGTGATGAGCAGATTGATGCTGAAATATCAATACTACCAGTACAAGAACTTTATGCTCTAGGATCAATACTAAAATCAAAATATTGATACTTTGATACTTCAGTCATTTGAAGTAATGTATGCCATTAGCAGGAACACAGTGGAAAGTAATTAAACAACTGAAATCTTGTCACAATCATATGAGTTTGGTGGGAACTACTTTTTTTCCGCCTGGGTAATGCTCACWCTGTAGATGTTACATGTTCAGCATTTTCCTGTTAAAATGTTCATGTCACGTAAATAAAGATGAAAGTTTTCATTTTGTAGTAGTTCTTAATAATAAAACAATAGCTTATTTTAATTTTTTCTTATTTTACTACCTTTTTTATTGCTTAAAACTACATTTTCACATATTTTGTATGATTGTGTCAACTGTTTTATGCTGTGTTATCTCGGCTATATTAGAAATTAAATGAATTGAAATTCACTGCTTTTTTAGATTTACCAGAAACAGAAGGTGAATTTGCACAAAGCATTGGATCAGTATTACCAACAACAGCTCAGTATCAGAATCAGAGGAAATAATAATAATAAGAAGAAGAAGAAGAATGGTGCATCAAACATAAAATTTAACAAAATAGTCAAATATTTCATCAATGAAATTATTTTTTCTGTCACATCTTGTTTTTATTCCTCAAACTTTAGGAAATGTCACATTTTTTTAGTGTTCCATGATGTTGCTGTAATATTTTGCTCTTATACTGTATCAATAGAAGCTTTTGATTACTTTATATTTGTCTCTTGTTTAGTTTCTGATTTTTGCTTATGTTTTTTTGGTTTGTGTGTGTTCTCCAGGCAAAGCAGTCTCTGGCCACTCTAACAAAAGACGTACCAAAACGCCACTCTCTGATCATGGCGGCGGAGCCTGTGGTGAACGGCAGTCAGGAGTGGGTGATGCAGGCCGACCTGCCGCTCACGGCCGCCATCCGTCAGAGCCAACAGACGCTCTACCACGGACACATCACGGACAGACAGGGTAGGCGCTCTCCTCCTCTCCGCCTTACACTTTCCTTCGGTGTGGCTCTAACAGCCTCAGCGTACTAACAGATGGGTTTTTCTGGAGGTTCCTGTCACTAACGGTGGGGAATTGTCAATGTGTGTGTGTGCGTGTGTGTGTGTGTGTTCAGCTGTGGTCAGGATCAGCCCCTGCCACACCCGCCAGCCCTCCGTCATCTCTGACGCCTCAGCGGCTGACGGGGACCGCTCGTCCACGCCGAGTGACATCAACTCGCCTCGCCATCGGACTCACTCCCTCTGTAATGTAAGAACTGCCCGGCCCCCCAAGTGACCCCCACCCGTCCCCAGTTCCCACTCGGAACCTGTTCACCCTTTGTCGTCTCTGGTTTGTGTGTGTTTCTCTCCTGGTTCAGCCTGTCTGCTCAGTGGTGGTGGAGTTAATTGTAAGATTTATGTTTTTGACATTCTGACACTAATTTTTGTTTATTTTAATAAGGAAATGTACATTTTTCTTGTTTCTATATTCATGCAATCTAATTTTCAGTAAAGCCAGGAGCTCAATTCAACACTTTCACAATCTATCAACATAGAGATGTTGTGAAATTTGTATTTTTAATACGTTTTGGTATGTAAAAGTGTGATCAAATTTGGAAAATTCACAGTATACACATGGCAATGCTATAAARAGAACAGATGTGATTGTCTGGAATAAGTTGTTGTGATGAAAATATTTTAAAATCACTGTCAGTACTTTTTTTTTTTGCTCAAACCCTAAACCTGAGTTAAAGATTTACCAATAAAAAACAGAAAAGGAAGAAAAAATAAAATAAATAAAAAACAGTGAATTCCCTGAACTTTTCTTTTCACAATTAATGAAAACCTATCAAAGTGACCATTTTTGCAACTATAAAGAACCAACATCTCCATTAGTGCTTATTTATAAGACATAATTATTGATGAATATTATAATTCTTGGAGCCAGAAATACAACCCAGTACATCAAAAAGAAAAAATGAGTAGGTCCTCTGGATGGGTTCTTCTTTAGTGAAACGTTTCGTCTCTCCTCCAAGAGTCTTCTTCAGTCTGATGAGTTTCAGGTGAACTCAGCCTAATAAGCACTGCCTCCACATGGACAAACAGGTTAGTCACATCCAAAAGAGGGCCCAGTACAACCCAGTACATGGTTTCCCCAGACAGTCTTGTTTAATTTAACAAGAAAGTGTCAAGCCTAGTAAATTTTGTAAAATTTATTCCTCTGTAGTAAAAAAAACACTGTGTTAAACTGGTTTGCCTCAACCTCAGATCGACTTCAAACATCCAAAGCATTTTGGACAAATATGATGAAAGAGTCTCCAAACCGTTAAGCAGATGATTTCCTGTCATCTCAAACTAACATTTTGACAGTTTTCAGAGCTGACAAGATGTTGGGTACACCACAGGTGATGCAACACGGCAGTAAACTTTTACCAGAAATGTCTACGGCATTAAATTAGAAAAGAAAAGTGTATTTTCCTCCACTCAGACATGAGCTTAGTGAGGTTTTTCTTTTACTTTTGTTCATGTGGAGCCATTAAAGTAGAATATTTTCTACTTGTTGATGTTAGTCCAAAATGAACCATCTRATTGGTTTAGAGGAGAGTTCATCTTCTCATCTATTAACAAAATGTCCAAGACTGARCCGAGTTTGTGTGTTTACCCCCCACCCCCCARCCCCCTTCAGTCCATGGAAGACCTAGAAGACCAGAAGCGTAAGAAGAAGAAGGAGAAGATGACTCTGGGATCTTTATCYCGAGTGTTCACTCGAGGAAAGCAACGCAAGTCTTTGGACCCCGGCTTGTTTGATGGTACAGCCACCCCTGATTATTATATAGAGGAGGATGCCGACTGGTGAAGCTGAGTGTGTGAGCATGTGTGTGTGTGTGTGTGTTCATTTTGTTGGATATCCACCTTGCTTAAATGTGTGTGAAAAACCATTGTTTTTAGAGATGGTGGATTTTACTGAAAAACAAAAGGACTTCTATCCCCATAAATGTACATTATATCACTCATAAACTGTATGTTTGTAAATTTTATATATATTTATAGTTGTACATGTATGCATATGTATATATGTTTACATGCATATAAATATATATGGGGTTAATAATATGTGTAGACATGTTTATGCTGTATTGTAAATGTCTTAATGTTTTATGTTTTTTATAACTAGAGACTTGAAGGACTGCTGTTCATATGTACATAGGAGATATTGTGAAACTAGTGTCTAAATATTAATGCTATTTTTGCTTTTTTGCTACTTTAGAGTTGTTTTCATCATGGTTTGCAAAACCTAGTTCTAACTTTTCCCCTTTTTTTGCCCATTTCTCACCATTTACTAAAAAACAAAGTTGACAAACTTAGATTTTTTTTGGTCAAATTGTGTGAAATTGCTTTTTAATCTCGACCAAAACAGCCGAATGTTTACAGGATTGTCATCTAAATCTTCAGAACATATAGGAGCAGCAGGGAGGGATTTGTGAAGGTCTTCTGCATTTTAGGAGTTCTGGAGTTACAGAGAAAATCCAACTGCACTGACTTGAATGCACAGAGAGATATCTGAAATATGTTATCAGTGGGAACCATGTGCCAGTGCCAAAAACATTAACACAAAAAGCGTTTTCATTCAGTTGTGTCACTCATTTTGCCTCAGAGCGTCATTTAACCCCAGCCAGTCTGAGACCAAGGAATGTGTGCGTTCAACACATGCATGATCCCTCTATGTTGCTTCGGTTAGACCTCCATTCATTTGCTCCTGTGTTGCCCCTCTCTGTTTTACAAAGCTATCTCTTGCATTACAAATGCATGCCRCCCTCCCATCCTTTGCATTTTTTTCCTTTTTTTTTCTTTAGTTTTACTTTGTGTAAAATCCCCTCCTTATTTCCTGCAAATGTGGCTCTAAAAGAAATCTCTATTAAATGCTTTGTAATTTAGGAAATATTGCATAAAAGATGAAATCTATTGAAGTATTTTATTTAAGAAAAAAACAAAGAAAAAACAAAAGGAGATAAAACCAAGAGGTAAAACAACAGATATTTATCCGCTGCAGCTGTCGCAGCCGAACATTGAGGAGGTTTCCAAGTGAATTATACCTGAAATGAAATCTTATTTTAAAAATAAAACTAGAAACTGAACACCCTGTGGCCAGTTTGTTTTTGTTCCATGAGTGCTCTCGTTCTTGTGTCCCAGTCTTAACGTGTCTCTCCCCGCTCCTCTTCCTGCCATTTCTAATGGCAACTCTCTCTCCTGCCAGTGAGTAACTCCTCATCTGTGATTACCAGCTGTCTGTTCCTGCACTCACTCTCTCTCTCTCTCTCTCTCTCTCTCTGGGGATTATTCATACCACTCATGTTCATTGAGAAATTAAAAAAAAAAACAAGCAGTTTGTTTCCCTGTTCTTTTAAAACTCTTTGGAGCGACGGTGAAGGTMTGCATGCAGCATTTTGTGTCCAGCATGTGGAGACGAATCAGAAAAAAAAAAGTGCACCCTGGATTCGTCGGTTCGGAATGAAAKAGTGTTTTTGAGACGGGCGGTTGAGCATGAGGTTTTATGAATGATCCCTGTGTCTCTAAAACATTATCCTAACAGSCTTAAGTCCTTTCATTATCATTAGGTAGTTAATAGTGTTTATCTGCTTTACTTAACGATGGAAATGTACTCTCATGATGGAAAGTGAAACAATATAAATACCTGAATGTGAACACAAGATGCATCCTGACATTTAATTACATTGTGTTGGTTAGATTTGATGGATTAAACAGATTGAAAATAAACCAACTCAGACATAGTGGCACCATCTGGTGGCTTTACGGAATAATTTCACAATATTTAGTAGAAATTGGATTAAAGTCATTTTACCCGTTTTCAAATCAGTTGATTCTACTGCAAACAAAAATCTGACTTTRCATTATTTTAAGTGTAATATCAAATTCCTGCTGTGCACTGTGTCACACCAAGGACAAGATTGACCCTTTTACCTCCGTTGGATTGCTTCCAGATGAGTCACTCTTTTTGATTTCCATATCCTTCTGACCCTGAACCTCTCCCGTGTGCCACACCGTAACTTATCCTGACCAATCCAGACTCTGACAGCCTCATACAGCACAGCATGTCTGACGGAGAGGAGCAGCTGGACCGCCTCCAGCAGGCCGAGCTCACCCGGAACACCTGCATGTCCCTGTGGAGGGCGGGGGCCGTCCGGGCCTGGATGGAGGTCGTCATGGGAATGCCCATGTACATCCAAGCCTGCTCCGAAAATGTCAAAAGTGGCAAGGTCTGATTTTTTTAAAGCAGAATATTTGCTTTATGAATGGGTGGACTTATAACATGATGATGGGTGATGTTAGGTTAGAAAGGACTGAAACTCTGCTCTTTAGGTGTTGCTGGGTCTGACGGATGAGGATTTGGAGATTGGGCTGGGCGTCAGTAATCCACTTCACCGCAGAAAAATAAGACTGGCCATCGAGGATTACAGAAGAGCTGAAGGGGAGCAGGGGTGAGTAAACTCCAAAACTGAGCATCTGCATCATATCAAAGGATTTTTTTTTWAATTTAAGCAAAAAAATATAAATAAACTTATGAAGATCTTATTAATATGATGCAAATTAAACCACACAGAAACAYTTTGTTTCTAGCAGTGGTGGGCAGCGCTAATCTAAAAATTAGTTGCACTAACCCTAAAGCACTAACTCAAATACTTTGGTCCCGTAATACTAAAGCACTAACACACAGAAAAATTTAGCAAAAGCTAATTCTAAAGCACTAAACTAATCCAGTTGACACATGAAACATTCTTCAGTCAACATGAGACAATATTTACTGTGTGAAGAATGTTGACACTTAGTGCCCTTGGCGGGCCAAATGGGAGTCACCCGCAGGCCACATTTGGCCCGTGGGCCTTGACTTTGACATGTGACCTWGTAGATAAGTGACACACATATTAACAAAATGTATGACAGCTTTCACCCTCAACTGTGAACAATAATGTTGATCAATAACATTTAAAGACCTCAGTTAGTGCTTCTAAATTTAGCCCATTAATTTAGCGAGTGCTAATCCACTAATAAATTTTAAAAAATAGCAAAAGCCCTAAAGCACTAATCAAGAAATTAGTTTCCCTATTAGTGCTTTAAGGTTTTAGGGGAACTGTGCCCACCACTGGTTTCTAGTAACAATATAAAACACTAAACATGTAAATTAAACCGTTTTTTTTCTTCTAGTATCACCAAGCTGCTCTTGATTGTCTTCCAGGCTTTCAAAAGCGTCTGAGATGGACCACCACTGGGTCTCGACGTCGTGGCTGAGTGACGTCGGGCTGCCTCAGTACTGCCAGACCTTCCAGACTCACCTAGTGGACGGACGAGTGCTGAACTCTCTCAGCCGCAGAGACTTMGAGAAATTCCTCAACATTGGCGACTACTTCCACCAGACCAGCCTTCTTCTGGCAATCCAGCTGCTGCAGATGCTCAGCTTTGACAAAGAGGTCAAAACATTCATAGATTCAGAAAACAGATGACAACAGCTGCTATAGTAGTATCGTATGTCACATATTAACTTGCAAGCAGATTCGGGCCTCTCAAACAGCTTCTAAAGTTAATTATTATGGAACCATTCATAGGGAGAGCACTGAAAAAAGCTTGCATTGCAGAAAGCTCAACAAGAAGAATGCACTTCAACTAATGTATTTTATAATGGGAATGGCAAAAATATTTTAAAATAACCAAACTAAAGTCCTTCTAACCTTACAGAAATGCTCTAAGAAGGGTTAAAGCAACTGTTTGTGTGAGAAAAGAGTTGCAGCCTTTGAGCCAACGTGTCCTTGTCGATGCTTTGATTCGTCTGTTCTGTTTTCACAGGCTCTGCAGGCCCGACGGACAAAATGTGAGCACCAAAACCGGGACCCCGTGGTTTGGACGTGCCACAGAGTGATGAAATGGATCAGGGACATCGACCTGGAGGTGGGTGAGGCAGTCAAAGACYACAGTCGGAGCCAGATCCAATAAAACAGGAGATTTAGTTTCCCTTCTAAAACTAGTGGTAGGTTTGTTGCTTTGAAACATCACACTGCTGAGAGGTTACACAAGAAAAACTGAATTAAACAGACCACATGGCGTTTCAATGTAATTATTTCTGGCACCCAAGAAGAAAAAAAAACATTTATTGCCTCCCTTTAAAAAAACACTACACTGCTCAGTTTGGAAACACTTTCATAGATTCTGTGTTTTGCTCTTCAGGAGTTCGCAGACAATCTTCAGGGTAAAGGGATTCACGGTGCTGTGATCGCTCTGGATCAGTCCTTTGACACAGATGTCTTTGCCAACGCTCTGGGGATCCCCAGCAACAAACACATGCTGCACCGACACCTGTTTGAGGAACTGAAGTTACTCACTGCCCCTCTCAGGTAAAATAAAAATAAAAAATTCCGATGAATACGTCCCTGAATTAATTTCATTATTTTATCATTTAACAGAAATTATGATAATCTCTTCCAAACGTGATGTTTGATTTGGAAATTCTGTTTAATGTTTTGTGTTTACAGCAATGCAGAGCAGAACTCTAAGGTCATCAATTCTTCTCCTGTGGCTGTCAATCAGTTTTCTGATGAGAGGGTGTCAATCAGAAGACTGGGAAAGGTATCATAGGTCATATTATGGTCCAAAGTAAAAAGTTTAAATATACAGATAGTCTGTTAAAGGGGACATATCATGCAAAATCCACTTTTTTAGCCATTAAATATGTTTTYTTGTTTATTTGGAGTCTCTAGGAGCGCAGAAAAGTTTAATTTYGTCTCTCCTGGTGCTGCAAAGATATCTTTATAATCTGTTAATTAATTTGTAAATCAAAAATTTCTGTGCCGCAGTAAATACATAACGTTCTTCTATCAAGCTAGAGCGGTCTGCTCTGGTATCACTCATTTTGATTCAAAGAGACAGCATCAAAATGAGTTGATCTTCAGAAAAAAAGTGAAAGAGGGGCTTGTGGAGTTACAATAAGGAGGAATTCAGACCAAAACAATGCAGTTCCACTTTCTATAGACCCAAACTGGATAATTTCAATGTGAAAAAGAAGGATTTAAATGTGTTCTTTAAAGTAGCTTCTAAAATATTCTGTAATCCAATATTTATCAAATATCTTTGGAAATATGCAGAAATGATCTTTGTATTAACTTTATGTTGTTTTCTTTAGTTATCTCATAAATCTTATTCTATTTTTTGTTTTCCCTCAGGTTCACCTAAGGCTACGAGCAAACAGTCACTCTGTGGAGCGGAGTCTGGGCTTCCACGGCAGCTGTGGCTCTCTGCCCAGAGAGGCCCGGGTTCAGGCTGTCCCTCGAGTCAAAGGCAGCCCCGTGCACACCTACAAGAGCGTAGAAGTCACTAACGTGTGAAGCAGACACTGTTTACACTGCTGCTTTTATTGTTTTATAGCTGTTTACTGCTGAGTCAGGAGTTCTCTGAATGGCACATAAAAACTTATTAATTCAAATTTCCTTTAATTTCAACAAATTTCACCAAGATTTGTAAATAATGTGACATGTTATGTTTGTTTTGAATATTAAAAGATAGCATTGGGTTTGGTGTCATTAAAAAAACTAAACTGACTGTAGATGAGATGAAATATGAATATTCTAAAAATGTTCACAAGCTCTTTGCTGCTTTAWGTAAATTAGGAGCTCTTTCTTCTTATTTAAACTATTCTAATTATTTAGGTGTATTATATATAATTTATTACATATGTAAGATTCAGAAAAGATAAGTTTTTAAAGCAGAGACATGTTGCTTTCATTCTGAGAAGGCCATGCTCTGCTCTTCTAACACTAATTACTAAATAAATCCAGTTAATGCAAAAGTAGCAGCTTAGGTCTAATTTATATATTTTAATGTTCCAGAAGCTGTCACAAACCCATACGTTTTGTTTGCAACATTTATACAAATTTGACATTTAAGGAACAAAATTCAGACTTTTTCGCTCACAGCTGATTTGTATTTTTGTCATTGAAGTTAGAAACGATCCATCGCAGAAGTTGCACATATATTTTGACGTACTCTGACAAAAATAAGGTTTAATTATCAAGAAATCAATTTATTGTTAAACCCACTGCATTTATTTAAATGTGCTTTCATTTACAAAGTGCTAAAAGGCAGGAAAACCAAAAATAATATTCAAAAACATCAGTTTAATAAGAAACTATCAAAACCAATAGAAGTTATGAGCATCTTCTAATTTCTTATACGGGGCCAAAAGATATTAGCAGCAAGCTGAACCTCAATTATTCTGAACTTTTTTTTTTAAATTCTAGCTCAGTTTTTGTTTTCTAAAATCAGAGGAGCTAAAGTCTTTATATTAATTGGAAAAGTCAGTGAATTAAAACCAATTACTGTTTTTTAGGGATTAAATTAAAACAGAAATCTTCCATCATGGTTTAACTTTTGTCACATATAAAGACACACAGCTGAATTCTGGGATATGAAATCATGATGTGTAAAACTGAATGTGTTTTAATAAAGTCAACATGTTGCTTTTCACTTTTGGAAATTTACTTGTACATTTTGTACAATTTGTTTACATTGTAAATGCCAAACAAATGCTTCCTGATTTAAAAAAAAAAAACGTATCAAATCTGTCAAGTGACTGAGTCACTGAACGAAACCCCCTCCTTTCACATTGTTTCAAACCGGTTCTCTTGCCTTTTTCTGGGCGTCTCCTTCAGTCACTGAAGTAAAGCTGTTTAAGCGGGAAGATCAGACCTGCTCAAACTTGTATAGCAGAAGAAAAGATGGACTTAAACATTGTTTTAAAGTCAACATTAGCATCCGTTTGACAGAAACTGTCCCTCACCAAGCTGTCAGCACATTACAGACAGCTCAGCTGCCAGTGTGACATTGTAAATGATGTTTTTTAAGAGCAAAAGCATTAAAACTTGTGTTAACAAACAGAAACAAAAAACAATCCTGTCCTTCTTGTTTATATATAAATAAAACGATGATGTGCCTATTGCATCACTTGTCCTTTTAGTTAGTTTTACCACATCAGCATTTTCTGTTGGCATRGTTTACGTCACTTTCTGTTTGCGTCTGAACTGGCATGAGAGCAAACTATTCAAATTTCATTTTACAAAAACTACRACAGCAGACTGATATCAAGAAATGTTATCAGTGGTGAGAGAATGTTGGACTGAGAAATGGTTTGTGAAGAAAAAAAATCTGAACTTTTTCATATTGATTTATTTGTAGCAGTGGGGTGAATATTTAGATGGGTGGAYATGTAGAAAAGTCAAGCATTCTTGCATTTTTAGTGCAACAAWTATTAGGGGAAAAGGTTTAATATCCTAGTGCACCACAAATTATTCAACATTAACATTTTAATATAACCTTATAGCCATGGCCTTTAAAGAAGTGTATTGTTTAGGAGGTCACCTCCTAATAAACGTTATTTTGGAAATTCTAACCACTCACTTTTACTCAATAC